CCTGAGAGGAAGTGGGGGGATGGGCCCAACCCACGGGCACAGCTTCCCCTGGGGCATCCTCTGAGACCCCAGGGGGCGAGAGGAGGACAGGTAGCTCCTCCAAGGGCAGGTGCTTGCTGCCTGAGCCTGAGCGGTCTGGGAGGCTGCAGCAGCAGCTGCCTTCAACCAGACCCCACACATGGCGCCCGGGCAGTGTCAGCCGTGGGGCACCTTCCAAGGGGAGGACTCCCAGGGGCCACCCAGGCCCGTGGCCTCCTGCTCAGCCCCTTGAGCCCCTGAGTCCAGCCCTGCCCCTGCCACTAAGGCCACGCCTGGCCCGGGGTTCACTGCCTCCTCTGCCCTCTCCCCATCAGCACCATCTCCCTGAGGCCCAGCCTGCCCAGCCCTGTGCCAGGGATCCAGTTCACATGAATGCTGAGAGCAAGCACCACTGCCAGGCACAGGTATTTCTCCCAGGAACCCCTCATGGCGCCTGGCTCAGGTCAGACACAGGGAGGAACCGTGGGCAGGAGACAGGGCGTGAGCCGAGGGACAGGGGAGAGGTGGGGGTGTGGGGGTGGCAAATCCAGGCTGCCACGTGTTCCGAGAACTTCCACAAGCTCCAAGCCCTGCCCACTGGTCAACAGTGACACCTCTGCATCGGGGTCAGCCATGACAGGCCCTGCCCAGGTACCCACCCTTGCCTCAGTGCACCACTGCTGTCCCTTCAGACCTGCCCATCACAGCCATTCCCACCTTACAGATGACAAAACGGGCATGGAGAGCCAGTCACAGAAGGGCCCGTCAGCAAACCAGAGGCGGCCCCAGGGCAAACTCCTGCTCCTAACTGTGCAGAGCATTCGACCCCCCCCCTTCAGGCTCAGTGCGCCTCTCTGGAAGATGGAGCAAGGCGGCGTCCCCAGGCCCACTCCCAGCCTAGGACAGCTCCAGGCCCCAGGGCTCAGGACGAGTAGAAATCACGGCGCTCTGAGGCCGCACCAGGGGAGGTGAAGGCTGGGGAGGGTGAGCAACAAGGTCAGCCCCCTCCCTTGGGGCACTCAGGTAGAAGGGGTGACCTCCGCTCGCTCAAGGCCATGCCACCCCCTTCCTGCCAGCCTGGACCCGGCCGTCCTGCCCACGCGCTACCTCCATCACCCTGCCTTCCCTGGCCGCCATGCCCACCCCAGAGCGAGGTTTCATCTGTGCAGAGTGGAGTTCAGAGAGGCTGGGTGAGGAGCCCGAGGCCACACAGCACAGAGGCTGGAGGGCTGCAGCTGCCAAGAAATCCCCCAGGGTCACTCACCCACGCTCCCGAGTGCCAGGGAGATGGGGGAAGAGCTGGGCTCCAGAGGAGGCGGCTCTTCCTAGTGCTTGAGCAGGCTCCTGGGCCGGGTGCCCCCCTGCCCTGCCCACATCTGCCTGGCGCGGAAGAAGGTCGGGGCCCAAGCAGCCCACAGTCTGTGCCCACAGCCTCCACTCTAGCTCAGGCCCTGCACTCTCGGGCATCTTTGCCCCCTGTACCACCACAACTGCCATCACCTCTATGGAGACTGGCACCAGCTCCTGTGATGAACAAGGAGCTGGCCCGGCAGCGGGGCGGGGCCTGGTGACTGAGGTGAGACCCCCGTGCCCAGGTGCTGGCACTGCCCCAGATGCTGAGTGACACACAAGTCAACTGCCAGAGCCACAAGCGTGGGCCCCTCCCCTCTGGGTGCCCCCCACAGACACAAGCAGCCTCAGAAGGAACCAACTCGCTCCAGTTCAGGGATGGCAAGGAGCCAGCCGTGTGCTGCAGGAAGCTTGGGCCCTGGGGGGTCTCTGTCCCAGCACCACGACCTCCAGCACAGAGCCAAGTGCTCACCAAGCACTAAGCCCACCTGGGCCTGCCACAGGTACTGTCAGCGCATGTTATAGATGGGAAAACCAAGGTTCACAGAGGCAAGGCCAGGCAGAGGGACTGCAGCGCCGGGCAGCCAGGCTTGGAAGACTGGGCTAAGTTTAGCGGGAGGGCACGGGACCCCCCTCTCCTCCCTAACCCCCTCAAGGGTGCTGCTGCAGAGCCTAGACACAGCCCCTTAATCCGAAGGAGGGTACTCTTCCCCACCAGCACCAGAACCTCAGGCAGCCTCTCCTGGCAGGTGGGCCCTGGAGCCCAGCAGGTGCCTGCAGCTCTGGCCCAGCATCTTGCAGAGGAGAGACGCCCCTTGTCTCCAACAACTTCTTCTCCTCTAAGTCATTAAATGGACACATTGGAATTACTCAGATCACAGCTGTTTACCCAGGGAAGGGCAGAGCCAGTGCTACTCAAAGGCAGGGGAAAGGGCTTCTCATGGCGAAGGGCAAGGCCGGGCCCCAAGGGAGGGTGTGGGCTGAGGGTCCCCTCTCTTCTGGGGACAGAAAGGACCAAGCACCGTGGGCCACGCCTGGCATGCAGATGCTATGAGGACCTGCCCCAAGCCTCCTCCACCCCCTGCCCTCGGGAGACATCACAGCTGTTGTGGGGGCTGCTGGGCTCTGGGCCTTCACCTGCCCACCACCCAGGGACTTCTGAGCCCCAGGAGTCACTAAAGGAAGTCGTTTCTGAGCAAGTGACACCCACAGCCCTAAGCCCAGCAGACAGACCTCCCACCAGCTCCCTTCCTCCGAGAAGCAAATGCCTTCAGACCAAGATCTGCCCGGGGGACCCCCGTGTATCCCTGCCAGACTGCATGCCCTGGGCCCTGCTCCAGGGAAGGAGACACAGGAGATCGCGTCACATGCAAACACGCTTTGTTTGGGCTGGCTCAGCCTGGTGCCAGAGCCCCAGTGACGTGTGGGTGGGACTTGGCCCTGGGGCCATGGATGGCACAGGGCGGGGGGGGGGGTTATCTCCCACTCAGGCCAAGCAGGGGCCGGATCTGAAGAAGCAGAGGTTAGAAAGCCCACTGCTTCCTGGTGACGGATGGGGCTTCCAGCTGCCCCCAGCCCCCTCTGCCTATCCCAGCTGTCCACCGCAGCCAGGAAGCCAGGCAGCCATGGGTAATCGTGCCCTGCCTGGTGCACTGGCCACACAGGGTAAGAGGCCTGGCCTCAGGTCCCCTGCAGCCAGCTTGACAGCGTCACCTCGGGCCCCCACTGTCAGGGGGTCTGGGCATCCACCAAGCCCCTCTCTTCTGAGCCTCTGCCCACTGGGCTCTGTCATGTGGACTGGCCCCTGCTCCCCCCACATCCCCCGCCCGCTGCTGGTGGCTGGGCAGGGCTCCGAGAACCGCTCCCAGCCTGGGAAGAAGCCTCCCACGCCAGGGCCCCGGACCCAGGAGAGGCCATGGCAAGCCTGAACCCCATCTGGCTGACACCCTCCACATCCCCAAGGGCCCTTAGTCTGAGACCAACTCTCCTGGACACCTGGGGCCCACGCAGGCCCTCTGTGCCCCAGTTACCTGTGCCCGGGAGGCAGCCACGGAGTCACGACCAGGCGGGGGACGCCAGCCCACAGGAGGAGGCCGGTTTGTGCTGGGGCCCAAGGCCTGCCCCTCCGAGATCTGGGGCCGCCAGGGGGTCCGGCTGCTTCTGCGACTGGGCTCGGGGCGGGGAAAGGGTTAATTTCCATGCAAACCGGGAGCCGGTGGGGCCCAAAGGCATCACGTCCGCAGCGGAGGGAGGCAGCGGCGCGCAGGCCGGGCCGCCAGGGACTCACCGGGGTCGAAGTGCGAGCTGAAGGCGAAGCTGGGGTTGAAGAAGGACGACGACATGGCCGGGCCAGCGGCCGGCGGGCATCCCGGGCGGGCGCTGCGCTCAGGACGCCCGCGGCCCCGGCCCGCGCCGCCGCATCACCCAGCGGCCGCCGCAGGTGCGGAGCGCGCCGGCCCCCGCGCCCCGCGCCCCCCGCCGCAGCCGCAGCGCCCGCACCGGTGGGGGCGGCGGCGACAGACGAGGCGCTCCGCCCGGCCCTGGCGCCGCGGGGCTCCGCTGGTGCAGTCCGAAAACGCGGGCGGGAGCGCGCGCGGAGCGGAGCGGGGGAGGGGGGGCTCCTCCGCGGCCGGGGTGGCATGGGGGGGCAGGGAGAGGGGGACACGGAGCGGGAGACGGAGGGGAGCATGGAGTGGGGGACACGGAAGGGGGACACAGAAGTGGGCATGGAGGGGGGACACGGAGGGGGGACATGGAGGGAGGACACAGAAGGGGGCTTGGAGGGGGGACACGGAGGGGAGGCATGGAGGAGGGGGGACGGGGGGCGTGCACGGAGGGGGGATGTCACGGAGCGGGGGGATGGGCCGGAGCAGGGAGCACGGAGGCCTGGGACTGAGAGGGGCACGGAGGCTGGTGGGTGGGAAACGGAAGTCATGAGTGGTAAGTCGTGAGTGGGTACGGAGGGAATGCCGGCGTGGGGGAGGGGGTGCTCCTAGGTGGGAAGGTTCAGGGAGACAGGTGGGGGAACCCGGGAGCACACCCAGGGCGGGGCTTGGTGCTCAGGGGCCCTCCCCTCACTTGGACGTTTGGAGGCAGCTGGTGTCCGTCCCCTTGCCCCATGTGCTTCGGGTGGCACCTGTGCTGGTGGAGTGGGGTCCTGGCTTTGCACACACGCCTGTTCTATTCCAGGCTGCGACAGCCATGAAGGAGGAACCTGGCTGAGTCTCCACCTGCCCTGGACTGTGCCATGTGCTTAGTGCAGCAGATTCGCCTGGGCACACAGGGGCCATCCCTTCCCTTATGTTTCTCCCAGCATCCCCCGTCCCTGCCCCAAAGCCCCACCTTGCAGGGTTGGGGCGGGGCAGGTTCCACCCAGCCCGCCCCTGTGGGAGCCGGGAGAATGAAGGTGCAGTGGAGGCTGGTCCTGGTGGCTCATGCCTGTAATCCCAGCATCTGGGGAGGCCAGGGCAGGCGGATGGCTTGTGCTCAGGAGTTCCAGACCAGCCTGGGCAACACAGCAAGACCCTTTCTCTACAAAAACTAGAAAAATGAGCCAGGCATGGTGGCGCTCACCTGTAGTGCCAGCTACTTGGGAGGCTGAGGTGGAAGGATCACTTGAGCCTGGGAGTTAGAGGCTGCGGTGAGCCAAGATGGCACCACTGCACTCCAGCCCAGGTGACAACGAAAACTTGTCTCAAAAAAAAGTGTCCTGGAGACTCGCAGTTGAGTTTGATGCACCCTCATCCACTCATTCACTCACTCACTCATTCATTCACTCATTCACTCACTCATTCACTCACTCATTCACTCATTCACTCATTCACTCACTCATTCATTCACTCACTCATTCACTCACTCACTCATTCACTCATTCACTCATTCACTCACTCACTCATTCATTCACTCACTCATTCACTCACTCACTCATTCTGGGACCAGATGGCTAAGCCCCTTGGCAGGGCCCAGCTGGGGTTGGGGCCTGTGGAGCAGGTGAGAGGAGCCCACTCCAACAGGGCTTTTAGGAGTTTAGGGAGAGAAAGGAGCCCGTTCCCGGCAGAGGGGCCTGCAGAGATCAGGACAGGATGTTTTGGTCACGGGGCAGGTGGAGGCCAGGACCCACCCTTCTTTTCCTAAGGGGGTCCCTCATGTAGGAAGTTTCCTCCCAACAGGCAAAGCAAGGGGCCTCCACCCTGTGCCCTCGGACCTTAAGGGGCCCTGGCTGTAGGAGACCAGACACCAACTACACCTGGGGAGAAGGAGACAGGGCACCCAGAGCCTTCTTCCTGGCCCTGACCGCGTGGCCAGCCGAGGCTGTAAGGGGCATTGCCCCAGGCTGCCGTTGCAGGTGAAGGAGCCATGTGGGTAGAGTGGCTGATGGGGGCCTTGCACACAGGAGGCACTCAGAGGCCCTGGGCCACCTCGTTCAGTCTGTGCCTTCAGGGAGCCCAGAGGCCTGGGAGGATCAGTGCCACCCAGCGGCAGGGATGGTTGGTGCCAGCAGGCTGTGATACTGGAGTGCTCCAGTGTGACGGACAGAGGGTATGGCATACCCTCATGAGTCTCCACTCTGAGTCCCCTGTCAGGGCCTACCCTCCCCAGCCCAGGAAGGAATGCCCTCGTCTGCCCAGCCTGGAAGGTGCCCTGGACACCTGGACCTAGGCACGGGGAGGAGGCCAGTGGCCCTGGGTGGTTGCTGGTTGGCATGTTGGGGAGAGTTTCTGTCCAGAACTTCCGTGCCCACAGTGGCCCTGCCTTGACAGCCTGGGCGGCAGAGTGAGACCTTGTCTCAAAATAATAATAATAATAATAATTGATACAATTAAACATTGTGGCCGGGCACGGTGGCTCACGCCTATAATCCCAGCACTTTGGGAGGCCAAGACAGGTGGATCACGAGGTCAGGAGATCGAGACCATCCTGGCTAACACGGTGAAACCCCGTCTCTGCTGGAGTGGCCAGGACAGCTTGCTGTGACCAAGAGCTGGATCCTCTCAGGTTTGCCTGTGAACACACACTGTACACTTGTGGCTGGGCCACAGCGCGGGGGCTTCATGCTGTGGATCTTCTTGGGGGTCCAGGAAGGACAGGGGAGAAGCTGCCCCTGGGCCCCAGGCCAGCACTCCCACCCCATGTGACCAGAGCAACACCCCTTCTCCAGGGTGCACGGGGCCCTCTGAGATTTCGCTGGAACCAGGAGTTCAGATGCTTCCACTAACCGTGACCTTAGTGGGGCTCCCCAGGTGCTGGCTTTTGCCCACACTGGGACAGGACCAGTGAGCACCTGTAGATAAGAGGTCCCTGAAGACATAGCTGTCCCCTATCCCCTGGCCTGGGGGAGGCATGATCTCCGCCCCCGGGACTCTCTGGAGCGCAGGAGGAGCTCACCGAGGAGCCCAGACTGGCTGGGAGAGTGTCCGTGCAGAGGCATTTCACGTCCAACAGGAAAAAGGCCAAGAGGCCCGGCGGGGAGCCCAGGTGTGGTGGAAAAGAGGGGGCAGGGGCAGGAGGAGCCTGGGGGTCTGGGGATTGGAGACCAGAGTGAGGCATGCACGCCCGGAGCAAAGTTTAGGGGGCACCCAAAACTCAGCAGTTATGCCCATCCGCAGATAAACCATCAGCAGGATGTGATCTGTCCATACAATGCAACGGTATTGGTCCATACACAGGACCGACGCCCTGACCACACGGTAACACGGATGACACATGCTACAACATGGATGACACATGCAAATACCATGCTCAGTGGAAGACATAAAAGGCCAGAGTGTGTGATTCCACTTGTATGAAATGTCTGGAACAGACAAATCCACGGGACAGAGGACAGGTAGAGGGCCACAGCCAGGGGAGGGGCACGTGGGGGCAATGCAGAAGGGGCACAGGGCATCTTCCTGAGGGGAGGAAACTGTCCTGAATTAGCTAGAGGTGATGGCTGCCCACCCTGGTGAAGATGCTGAAACACTAAGCCATACCCTTTGAAGTGGTGAACCTCATGGCCTGTGATTTATATCTCAATAAAGTTGTTAAAAACAGTAATCAAGGTAGCTAAGATTTGAATACAATGTTTTGTTTTGTTTTATTTTGAGACGGAGTCTCGCTCTGTCGCCCAGGCTGGAGTGCAGTGGCAGGATGTCGGCTCACTGCAAGCTCCGCCTCCCGGGTTCACGCTATTCTCCTGCCTTAGCCTCCTGAGTAGCTGGGACTACAGGCGCCCACCACTAGGCCCGGCTAATTTTTTTGTGTTTTTAGTAGAGACGGGGTTTCACCATGTTGGCCAGGATGGTCTCGATCTCCTGACCTCATGATCCGCCCACCTCAGCGTCCCAAAGTGCTGGGATTACAAGCACGAGCCACCGTGCCCGGTCACAATGTTTTTTAATTTTATCAATTATTATTATTATTATTTTGAGACAGGGTCTCACTCTGCCACCCAGGCTGGAATGCAGTGGTAAAAACTCCGCCTCCTGGGTTTAAGTGATCCTCCCGCTTCAGCCTCCCGAGTAGCTGGGAGAACAGGCCCCTGACACCATGCCTGGATAATTTTTGTATTTTTTGTGGAGATAGGGTTTTACCGTGTTGCCCAAGCTGGTCTCAAACTCCTGAGCTCAGTTGATCCACCCGCCTGGGCCTCCCGAAGTGCTGGGATTACAGGCATTAGCCACCGTGCCTAGCCTTAATTTTTTTTTGAGATGGGGTCTCACTCTGTTGCCCAGGCCGGGCTCCAAATCTTGGGCCTAATGATCCTCCCACCTTGGCCTCCACAGTAGCTGGGATTGTAGGCATGAGCCACCGCACCCAGCTTAATACAACAAAATTAATTTTAGAAATCTATGACAAGCAGCTGGGCGCGGTGGCTCACACCTGTAATCCCAGCACTTTGGGAGGCCAAGGCGGGCAGATCACGAGGTCAGGACTTCGAGACCAGCCTGGCCAACATGGTGAAACCCCGTCTCTAACAAAAATCCAAAAATTAACCGGGTGTGGTGGTGGGCACCTGTAATCCTGGCTACTAGGGAGGCTGAGGCAGGAGAACTGCTTGAAACCAGAAAGTGGAACTTGCAAACTTGCAGTGAGCCAAGATCAAGCCATTGCACTCCAGCCTGGATGAAAAAGTGAAACTCTGTCTCAAAAAAAAAAAAAAAAAAAAAAGGAAAAGAAATCCACGACAAGCACAATATCCCAGTTTTGAATTAAGGTAAGAGCCGTCTTGGAGCCGGCAGCCCAGAAAGGGCAGTCCTGTTGTCCTGGCACAGGGGCCTTGGACAGCTGTCTATGTCCCCCTCCCAGGTCTTCCCGGCCTGGGGGAACAGTGAAGATCACTTCCTAGGCATTCGGCGCCTTCCCTGCTTTCCACAGGGTCCTCACTGCCTGGGGGTGGATCTCCGTAGGGTCCCCTTCTACAGACTGAGACCTGGAGGCTCTGGAAGGGGTCAGCGTGAGGAGTGGGCCTGGGGCAGGGGGAGGACGGGTGGGAAGGAGGGCAAGAAACAGAGAGCAAGGCAGGGCTCTGGGGAGGGTCTGCGGGAGTGTCCCAGGCCTGTCAGAAAAAAAAAAAAAAAGGACCACACGGGGGGCTTCAAACCACAGAAAGGGATCCTCTCAGCTCTGGAGGCCAGAAGTCTGGGGTGGAGGTGTGCGTGGGGTCGCTCCCTCCAGAGGCTCCAGGGGAAGGTCCTTGCTGCCTCTTCCAGCTGCTGGTGGCCTTAGGCGTTCCTGGGCCTGTGGCTGCACGGCCCCAACCTCAGCCTGCGTCATCACATAGTCGTGTGTGTGTGTGTGTGTGTACATATGTGTCTATGTGTGCGTGTATGTCTGTGCATATGTGTAGATGTGTGTGTCTGTGTTGGTGTGTGCATGTGTGTGCATACATGTAGGTGGGTGTTGGCATGTATGTGTGCCTGTGTGTGCATGTGTGTAGTGTGTGCACATGTGCATATATGTAGGTGTGTGTTGGTTTGTGTGTGCATGTGTGTAGGCATGTGTGTCTGTGTGTTGGTATGTATGCATGTGTGCATGTGTGTGTTGGTTTGTGTGTCTCTGCATATGTGTAGGTACATGTGTCTCTGTGTTGTATGTGTGTGTGCATGTGTGTGTGCATATGTGTAGGTATGTCTGTTAGTGTCTGCACATGTGTGCATGTGTAGGTGTGTGTGTTGGTTTGTGTGTGCATGTGTCTGCATATGTGTAGGCATGTGTGGCTCTGTGTTGGTATGTGTGCATGTCTGCATCTGTGCATATGTGTAGGTGTGTGTGTTGGTATGTGCATGTGTATGCATATGTGTAGGTGTGTCTGTTGGTGTGTGTGTGTGCATGTGTTTTTGGTTTGTGTCTCTGCATATGTGTAGGCATGTGTGTCTGTGTTGTGTGTGCACGTGTGTGCATATATATATATATATATTTTTTTTTTTTTTTTTTTGAGACGGAGTCATGCTCTGTCGCCCAGGCTGGAGTGCAGTGGCCGGATCTCAGCTCACTGCAAGCTCCGCCTCCCGGGTTCACGCCATTCTCCTGCCTCAGCCTCCCAAGTAGCTGGGACTACAGGCGCCCGCCACTTCGCCCGGCTAGTTTTTTGTATTTTTTAGTAGAGACGGGGTTTCACCGTGTTAGCCAGGATGGTCTCGATCTCCTGACCTCGTGATCCGCCCGTCTCGGCCTCCCAAAGTGCTGGGATTACAGGCTTGAGCCACCGCGCCCGGCCACATGTGTGCATATATGTAGGCATGTGTCTGCATGTGTGTGCATATGTGTGCATGTGTATGTGTGTGTTGGTATGTGTGTGCATGTGTGTAGGTGTGTCTGTGTAGGTATGTGTGCATGTGTGTTGGTTTGTGTATGTGTCTGCATATGTGTAGGCATGTGTGTCTCTGTTGGTATGTGTGTGCATGTGTGTGCATATGTGTAGGTGTATGGGTTGGTATGTGTGCATGTGTGTGCATATGTGTAGGTATCTGTGTCTGTGTATGTATGTGTGTGTACATGTGTCTGTGCATGTGTAGGGGTGTGTGTTGGTGTGTGTGTGCATGTGTGTGTGTTGGTATGTAGATGTGTGTGCATATGTGTAGGTGTGTGTCTGTGCGTGCATGTGTGTCCGTCCTCTCTTCTCCTTATCAGGCCCCAGTCATTGCATTAGGACCCCCTGCTCCAGTCTGGCCTCCTCTTGACTTGATTACAGCTGCAAGGACCCTATTTCCAACTGAGGTGCAGTTCACAGGTATCAGGGTTAGGACTGAACATAGTTTGGGGGGATACAATTCAACCCCTGACGGGAACGTAGGGCATGGGAGGGAGGAGTAAGGTAAAGTGGGGAACACCCAGCTGTCAGGACAAGGTCAGCACCTTCCCAAATTATTCCTGCAGACGTCTGAATCCCAATTAGCCAGTTATAACAGCGTTTCTGCAAGCGCAGCTGCTAAATCTGCCTGCTGGGCACCACAGTAGGCATTGCAGAGCCCCAAGGATGCCCCTGCCTGACTGGGCCTCACCCTGCAGTGGGCATCCCCGCATTCTGCCACATGCCCCTCCACCATCTTGGCCCTCTTAGAGGCATCTCTAGGGTGCTTGGGCCCCTCCAGCCCCAGCCCCAGCCCTGTACCCACAGGCACCCTGGAGGGAACAGAGCTGGGTGCTCCTCCAGGCTGAAGCAGCAGGGCCCTCAGGCAGGATGGGCAGCTGGGGCCTCTTGGCCTCCAGCCCTGGCCTCCCCCTTGCTCCGAAGTCATTTCAGGCAGGAAGGTGGTAGGTGCCAACACTGTGGGGGTCAGTGAGACCCGAGCCTCCCCAAGGGGGCAGTGCCTGTCTAGTGCAGGGACAAGGGGCACAACACTGTCCCCCAGAGCTGTGAAGTGGTCCTGTGGCCCTTCCAGGCCAGTGTAGCCCATAGCCGGGGCCAGTGACCTGGGGGCAGGGCTGGAGGCCAGGAGGGGCGGCTCTGAACAGAAATGAAGCTGAAAGAGCTGCCCAGGGGACAGGCTATCTGTCAGTTCAGGGCAGGTGCTGGTTCCAGGAGCTTCAGAGAACCCCACATCTGCCAGCCTGCCCACCCGCCCGGCCAGAGATCCCAGGCCAGGCTCCCTAGGCAGGCCAGGGCAGGTTCACAGCCTGCGCTGCTCACACTACGGATGCTTCCAGCCGCTGGTTTCTTTGGGTCTCGTTTTATTAAAAGCATGATTTCCCACTCTACATATTTCCTCTTTTATTGAAAAAATTCACATAATATAAAATGAATCGTCTTAAAGTGAGCAATTCAGTAGCATTTGTATTCACAACGTTGCACCCCCATCTGCGTCCAGAACATTTTCACCATCCCAAGAGGAAACTCCAAGCCCATCAGACAATGCCTGCCCGTTCCCTTCTCCTGGGCCCCCACCGCTCTGCGCTCAGTCCCCAGGAACGGGCTCATTCTGGACATTTCATAAAAATGGAATCACACGGTATGCGGGGGCGTCTGCCACGCGTCCCTCAGTGGGATGTTCCTCCCGGGGTTCCTCCTCGCTCTGGCCTGCCGGTGCCACATGCCTTTCTACAGCTGAGTTACATTCCGTTGTGTGGCCGGACCACACTGTGTTTATCCAGCCACACCCTGAGGTCAGGGCTGCTCGCTGGAGACAGACTGCAATGTTATTAGTGTTAGGTGTGGGGTGGGGGCACCCGGGACAGCCCCGCACAGTGGGAAAGCTATAGGGTGAACCCTACGGGGAAGAATATGGCAGGACCATGGACTCTGCCACCTTCTGACCCGCTCATTCCACTACTGTGAACGTAGCCAAGGAAAGGGAGGGTTTCTTGGACAAAAACACTCACTGCAACGTTATATCTAATGACAAAAAACCCTGAAGCTTCTCCTGGTCCAGCAGCAGACGGCCAGTCAAGAAAGTTGCTGGGGCTGGGTGCGGTGGCTCACGCCTCTAATCCCAGCACTTTGGGAGGTCGAGGCAGGAGGATCACTTGGAGTCAGGAGTTCAAGATCAGCCTGGCCAACGTGGTGAAAATACAAAAACTAGCTGGGCGTGGTGTGGTGGTGGGCACCTGTAATCCTAGCTA